TATATATATATATAAATATAAATATATATAAACTTCAACTTTTTCTCTAATCAAAATATTGAAACCTAGGCCTAAACTTAAACCCAATTGGCGAACTATCTGAACGCTTGCTTATCTCGCGGAGTTAAATTGTTCGTTTTACGGACGAAACTTTCCAAAACCTAAAAGAAAAACGTTGTTTTAGAAAGAAAAAAAATAATAATATAAAAAAATGAAGATTAGTTTTATTCATGTTAAATTCATAAATTGTAACAGAGAATTTACTAGTTCTATCTTGCAGTATTTAGTGAATTATTGATGTTGATATTGATGAGGCCAAAAAAGAAATGAAAATGCAAGGTTGAAGCGTGTGAAGGTTGTTGATCTTTTCAGCATTTTGTGCAGAAATTTCAATGTTAAGGAGCTAGCTATGACCTCATACCTGACCTTAATCTGCTTGACTTGAATGGCCTTTTGGTCAATGGCTTGCGCCAAAATATCTACTTCATGTACATCAACACGCTACATCACTATTCTTGCAATTGAACCTAGCTCAAACGAATTTCAACACAATAAAATAAATTGCTCAAAGGAGACCAAAGGGCTATTTTGAATTCAATATATTACTTTTATGCGTTGTTTTGGCCACACTCACCACACGTTTTGATATAGAAAATTATTTTAATAGTACTAAATAGATTAAATTTATTTTTATTAAAATTTAAATTTAAAAACAAACAAACACCATGAGTCCATTTGGTTTAGGGTTTAAATTATCTTTTATACATTATCATAATATAACATTTAAGGTCACTTTATACATATATTCAAATTTATTGATTTAGTCCATGTTAAAAAAAGAAAAAATCAATGGAGTTAGTAAACCAATTAAGGGAGAAGTTAGCTTCCACAAACCACGGTGTATTTATTTATTTAGCCATTTCTTTTGACATTTGACATGTCACCACTGCGGGTGCGAGGATTCGACCCGTTTCTTTATAAACCAATTTTATTTCTTATTGATTTAAACGAGTTGGAGTTATATATTAAATTTTTTTTTCAAAAAAAATAAACGAGTTGGAGTTTTAAAATTAAACTCAATATAATTTTTTGGAGAAATTTGGGTTATGTGTTGAATCATCTCAATCGATCTTTTATTTTTATTTTTTAATATCTAAATTTTTAAAATAATTATATATTAATAATATTTTTTAATTAATAATATTTTGTATAATATTATATTTTATTAAGAATGGGTTTTCTTTTGTTTTTAAATAAAATTTAATGATCATGTTCTATCAATATAAAAAAAGTATACTATCAATCAATCATAAATAAATGTTTACATTATTTTGAAGATATTTATTACAAAAAAATCGACGAATTTTTTTTATTTATAGTGATTTGTTAGTGAAAGATTATACCGTAAAATTGTTTTATATCGTTAATAATAACGTTTTTCTTTTAAATATGTATTTTAAAATAAGGTTTACTTTAAAGTTTTGAGTTATACTGTTAATATTAATATTGAAATATTAAATTAAAAATATTTCAAATTTTGGTCGGTCCATTCAAATTTAAATAAAGAGTTAATCACCTATACACTTTCAGTATAAAAATTTTTTACATCAACAATTAATCATATTTTTTAATAATATCATGTCATTTTCTCATTTAATCAAATAAAAGTAAAATAAATAATTTAAAAGATACGACTGGTTGCCAGTGTAAAAAACTTTACATAAACAGTGTATGAATAATTAACTCTTAAATAAATAACTCTATCAATTTTGTTACACCCCAGGGACGACCCATTTATGTCCTTGATCTACTTGCTGGTCATTAATAACGGAACATTTCTAAATTTGAGAAAGAGTTGACATTAAAATGTTGCGCATTCATCATTTAAATTGTCTATTTTTCTTTAATGATTTTAATTAGCAAAAACAAATACAAAATTATGAGCAGGCAATGATTTCGAGGAGTACGAAATTAAAACAGTGAACAAATAAAAACAATTAATTCCCGTTAAAAATAAAATAAAAAATAAACTAAAAAGCAAAATAGCAGAACAACACATCCGTGATCCGTCTCGAAGCATTCCCACCTAAACTTTCAAAATATTTGTTTTTTTTATCGTAATTAATTGAATTTGATATTTCGTTTGTGTGATTTAACATCAAATTATTCTTTTACACCGTTTTTACGGCGTGATTGGATCGAAAATTTAAATAAAATAATTTAATTTTAAAAAAATTTAAATGTCTTAAAATGAAATATTTTATTTAAATAAAAAATTTATAAATAAATTAAAATTTAAGTATTTATGAAAATTTTAAAAATAGTAGAATTTTAAATACTCCTAAAAAAGTGAAAATTTGAAAACTATTCATATTTTTCTTTCTTGTCTTATATATATACCTTTTTATCTCTTTTCTATCTCTTAATTATTGAATATATTGCTTCAAAAAAAATATTGAATATTAAAAATATATAATTTTAATTATTAAATATTATCTAATATTAATTTATTAAGTTATTAAATATTTTTAAAAAAATGACTAATACTTATTTTTAGGGTTAAATATGTTTTGATCCTCCAAAAATTGACTATATTTGGTTTTAGTCCATCAAATAAATTTTTCTTGATTTTAGTCCTCCAAATTTATATAATAATTATTTTTAATTATTTTTTAAAATATTATTAACTTTTGCTGTTAAACTAGGTTATCCCATCATTCAAATCATCGTAAGTTTTATTGACAGGAATTTTTTTAATTTAAAATATTAGTTATTTTAGGATTAAGTTAAATTTTAGGATAAAAAAATAATTTTACACTTAAAATTTTATATTATTCACTATCAAGTATTGAGGTTTCAGTAATTCACTTTTTTACTTGAACAAAAAGTCTCCCACCAAACTCTAATAAAATCTTCTCACAAACTCAAAGCAAGTTTTTATTTCTACCATTATCACCATGTTCATAGATGTTCAATTCTCGTTATCGCCAACAATCCTCTAAGTTTCAAATTCTCAATTTTCGGCCACACTATTTCATCCTAAGCAATTCTCAAAGGTCTCAATGCACTAATTATTCTAAACAATACTCATCCTTCTCCATTTAAGGTTTACCTTTTAGAAATGGGAGGTCATTAACTTACTCCGCTAAAGGTAAAAGCAAATTAGAGAAACAAATAAGACAAAATTGAACATTCCTAAAACCTCCATGTTTGAGTCTGAGAGTAAATAGTAAAAAATATTAAGTACAAAATTAATTTTTACCCTAAATCTTAACTTAAACCTAAAATAATTAATATTTTAAAAGTTTTATGTTAGTAAAACTAATGGTGATTTAGGTGTTGAGGTGATCTATTTTAACCACAAAAGTTAACAGTATTTAAAAAATAATTAAAAATAGGTATTATATAACTTTAGAAGACTAAAATCAAGAATTATTTTAGAAAGTAAAACCAAATAAAGTCAATTTTTGGAAGATCAAAAACATATTTAAATCTTATTTTTATAATATTTAATTTTAAAATCTCAATATATATATATATATATATATATATATATAATCAATTTTATCCATGGTAAAAATTAAATTATCATATCTAAAGTAAGAATTTAAAATTTAAAAAATTTGAATTGACTTATTAAAAAATATTTAAAGAATGATAAAAATTAAAATTAAAGTAATTCAAATTTTAAAAATTTTAAATCTCTTAAATTTCTAAAAAAAAATTATCCAATAAATTTTTAAATTTTTTCATCCAAACACTGATTAATAATATTTTATACAATTGAATAACAAAATTGATGTTTTACATTAATAAACAAAATTTTGGGAATTAAAATGTTGGCAATGCTTATTTATATCTTTAAATGAGGCTATTTATTTTATGAATGATAATCATAACAGTTACTTCCTTTTATTAATGTTTTGTTTTTCTTATTTATTCTTCAACTTTATTAACTCACGTAATGACCAATAGGATTAGTTTAGTAATTAAGTAGAGAGAGATTGAGGATTTTGTAAGGTTGAATTAGGCTTAAATCTATTATTCTAAGATGGTGTCAGAGCTATCATAGATCTTTAAAAAGGGTCGTCTATCATAGATCATTCAAAATGATCACTTACCATTTATCCACATACCAAGCCCAATAATGCTGAAGGTGAGGGGTGTATTGAAAAAAATCCAAGTCTCTCATCGACTAAAGATAAGTCAATTAAAAAATATATAAGTGAAGAACAACTCTCACTTTACAAGCCAGTTTTGTAGGGTTGAGTTAGGTTAAAATTCACAATTCTAATAAAGATTTAAGTTCAATTCTTATTACGATCATCTTTATAATCTTTCTTATCTTTAAAAAAAAATCATACAATTTTACACTCATATTTTGTACATATTAATTCATAGGCTTAATTAGTAAAACATAAAATATACACTACATTTCTTAAAATATTTTTAATTATATTTATGATAAATAATATTCTCATTTATTATCATAAATGTATGAAGTATTAATTACAGAGATTAAATATTACTATATATTTAATATATAAAAAATGTACTTGTAACTCGTTAATTAATCATTAGTGTAAATACAATTGTAAGGAGAATGATAAGTGAAATCATTTAAAATTTACCTCTAAATTATCCTCCAGATATTAAAGTAAACTGCAATCCGATTCACCGTAGTTTGTGGACTTTATTGTGAACAATAAATGAGTTATGTTAATGTTAATTCATTACTAATCAAAGAGTTGACTAAGGTTTATGATGACTTACCGTTGCATGTACGAACTTCACCAAATTACTGAAAAAGTTGAAGCAGCACACGAAGATGGGAAAAACACTTTTAAAGTGAGAAAGTATGTTTTAAGCGTTGGAGTATTTGTTATTGGATAAAATTAAAAATATTTCCAATCTTATATATATCCTACTTTGATTAAAAATAAAATATATTTGTAAAATTTTATTTATTTATTTTTTATGATAAACACATCAAAATTTGAATTTTTTATTTTTGAAACTTACCTTCTACCACTAAATCACGTGTACACTTTAACATATATATAACTTTATTTGGTGTAAACAATAGTATTTAATTTTGTTTTAGTTTGGATTTGCAACCCTTACTTACTGCTGGCGGATTCCATGGGCCTCTGTTGTTTCCGTTTTCGTGTTTCCCTACGACCATAGATTATATCTACATCATTTAGAATCAATTTAAGTAATTCTTTTCGTAAGTAATTATACCAATTTTTTTCAAAGTTAAAATCAATTTATATATTGCAATTTACGAAAAAATTATTTAATTAAATAGACAATTATAAATTAATTTCAATTTACCCAAAATATAAATTTGTTTAACTTTATTTATTCATTCTATATTATTTTCACATAAAACTTGTTAAATAATTAACCTTAAACTCTTAATTAAGATAATTAATGCGCCAGAGATTTTTCATGGGACGACGCCAGTCGCATAAGGGTTTCGAGTGGACGGCAACTAAAGTTCATTCACATACATATGACCATGCGTATTATATAAAATCATAATATCTGACCCGCAAAAACTTAATAGCAAAAAAATTTGACATGCTATAAAATATTAAAAATATTTATAAGAAGATCTGTAGACATACCATAATTAACAATCCATATTTAACATATAGAATATTTTGTTCGAAAGGTAGTGCAACGAATCAACAAAAATTCTTTGAAAAATATTTGCTACGAATAAAACGGGCGAGGTGCCCGAAAAATAAAATATAAGAACGCGCAATAATAATTTTCTTAGGATGTCTAGAAAATAAATATGAAAGAAAAAAGCGAAAGTTATGAAGGCATGCAGTTTCAAAGTCGTTTGCCTTGAATTGTACGTACGTATAATTAATGAAAAGAAAAATCGCAACAATAACGATTCTCCCCTTCTTACCAGCCCACCTATAAATACCACAACTTTGCTCTTCAACATTCCCATCAAACAAAACCAAAACCAAACTATTCCTTCTTTGCTGTCTTAAGATCATAATAACACACACTTCACTTCACTTCACCATGGTTTTTCCAAAACCTCCTTCTGAATCTGATCTCTTTCTTCATTCCAACTTTGCTTCTCGTTATGCCACCGACTCTCTTCCTAGGTATACATGTTTCGCTTAATTTGCATCTTCCTTTTGTTATGTTCATTCATATATATATATATATATAGATAATTATGTTTGATCTCGATATACTCTTTAATTTGATTTAATGAAGAGTTTTTTTTTTTTTATGTGCAGGTTCTGCATGCCCGAGGACTCCATGCCTAAGGAGGCTGCTTACCAGAACATTCACGATGAGTTGCAGCTTGATGCCATTCCAAAGCTTAACTTGGCTTCCTTTGTCACCACTTCCATGGAAGAAGAGTGCAACAAACTCATCATGGAATCCATCAACAAGAACTATGTCGACATGGACGAGTATCCAATCACCACTGACCTTCACGTGCGTTCTCATAATCAAATATTTTCCTTTTACATCTTCTTTTTGTTTTGGAATAGGAAAGAGAGATATTATATTTTTTTGTGTTTCACCCCCTCAATAACTTTTGAAACAGAATCGGTGTGTGAACATGATAGCACGTTTGTTCCATGCTGAAATTGGAGAAAACGAGACTGCAATTGGAGCAGGAACTGTTGGTTCATCGGAGGCCATAATGCTGGCAGGGCTTGCATTCAAGAAGAAGTGGCAGAACAAACGCAAGGCAGAGGGAAAGCCTTATGATAAGCCCAATTTGGTCACTGGTTCCAATGTCCAGGTATATATTTATAATTCATTTCTAGTTCCCGTGGTTAAACTTTTATCATTGTCACATATTTTAGAACGTAGCATTATGTCACATGGATTAATTACGCGTCTACTACTCATATTCAGCCACCTTTAACTTATAATTATTTTATGCCACATAATTATAACTCATGCGTTTTGCATAATAATGTATATTATGTAGGTATGTTGGGAGAAGTTTGCAAGGTATTTTGAGGTGGAGTTAAGGGAAGTGGAGGTGAGGGAAGGGTACTATGTGATGGACCCTGCCAAAGCCGTTGAGCTGGTTGACGAGAACACTATTTGTGTGGCTGCAATCTTGGGTTCAACTTACAACGGAGAGTTCGAAGATGTGAAGCTCCTAAATGATCTACTTCTAGAGAAAAACAAGCAAACTGGGTGAGTAATATTGCACTAATTAGCTCTTTTGACCTATTCAAATTCTTTTACATAGCTTTCCTTTACCCTGAATCTGAACTAATTAATTTGCTTAATTTACTTGTCATATTACATAGATGGGATACACCTATTCATGTGGATGCTGCTAGTGGTGGCTTTATTGCTCCATTCCTTTATCCAGAACTAGAATGGGATTTCAGACTCCCATTGGTGAAGAGCATAAATGTTAGTGGCCACAAGTATGGTCTTGTTTATGCTGGAATTGGTTGGGTCATATGGAGGACCAAGGATGACTTGCCAGAAGACCTTGTCTTCCATATTAATTACCTTGGTGCTGACCAACCCACCTTCACCCTCAATTTCTCTAAAGGTGATTCATTCATTTCAAACATTGTATATTTCTTGATCCTTTATTTCCTATTCATACCATATACTTATGTTATTAATATTGTATCCACTTGCAGGTTCTAGTCAGATAATTGCTCAATATTATCAGCTAATTCGCCTTGGCCAAGAGGTAAGCTTGCGGTTAAAAAATAAGCATTGTAATATTTATGACCACATTGTTTCATAACAAATAACAATGTTATTGGACTTAATTAATAGGGGTACCGTAGCATAATGGAGAACTGCAGAGAAAACGCAATGGTGGTGAAGGAGCATTTGGACAAGAGTGGACGGTTTAACATACTCTCAAAAGACAATGGTGTTCCAGTGGTGGCATTTTCCTTGAAAGACAGAAGCGAATTCGATGAGTACAAGATATCAGAGATGTTGCGGCGCCACGGTTGGATCGTGCCAGCATATCCAATGCCACCTGCGGCTCAGCACATCAATGTGCTTCGTGTGGTCATAAGAGCAGAGTTTTCACGCACTCTTGCTGAACGCCTTGTGTTTGACATACACAATGTGTTGCATGAACTTGAAACAGAACATCCCCACAAAGTGACCAAAAACATTGAGGAAGACAAAACTCACACTGCGTTGGATGCGCATAGGGAAATCATTGCCCAAGAATCCAACAAGCGTCAGAAAATCGTGGCTGCGTAGCTACGGAACCAACACTATACCAACTAAATAAGGAGCCTTCACTGTTTGTTCTAACTCCATCCAAAATCTACCCTTAACCATACTTATTTTGTTTTATTTGGCAAGGAAATAACTGGCCAAATCATTTAGCTGACCCCATTACCAGTTTGTTTAATTTCCTATAATTTTATGTCAACTCAGCTATGTACTTCACAATAATGTCTTCTTTTTTTTTTCCACCACATTAATGCTGTTGTAAGAGTTCGGTCGTTGTTGTTACTATTATAAGGAAAATTGCTATATATGGTGAAATAATTTTTATAAGTGATTTACTTTGCACCATTATTTTCAATTATTATATTAATTTCGCACTCATAAAAATATCGTTCATATCTTGTACTAGATCTGTTTTTTCTCTCTCTCTCTCTCATCGTCACTTTTTTACTGTTATATCTCTTCATTGTGTTTTCTCTCTTCGTTGTAGTATACCAATCTCTTTGTAAAATAATCTAATTAATATCCTAACACAAAACATTAACCGTTGAGAATGGAGCTGCACAAGGTTATCTAAAATAAATTAAGGGTTGGACTCTCCCAAGTTCTGGTTTCCTTTTTGTCAGCAGAATTTCCACAATAATCTTTTGTTCCATCTTTGTGTAGACATCTTCGGCCATTGTAAGAGAACTAATTAAAAAATTTCAGAAAGTCTAAAAGACATACTAATATATTCAACCTTTTAAGAACTTATTTTATAATTTATTTGGTCCAACTTCTACTTTTGCAGAGAAGAAAATCTAAAATAAGTTGTCATGATATGCTCAAAATTCATGCATGCAGGATACGTATAATTTGGTTTATAATACTTGAGATAGTATTCACGGTCTTCTTATACAACGAAACTTTGTGAACAGTGAAGTGATCAACAGAGGACATTTGTTTCACAGATTAAGACAAATTAATTTGAACTTGTAAATGTAAAATTCTCTATTTTGTTGTAAGATTTATGTAAAATTCTCATATTTGTTACAAAATTTAAAAATATATTTTTAAGTATTACTTAAAAAGTAATTATATCATAATTTAAGTTATTTTTATTATCGTGATTGAGTGATGAAAAAATTATATTTCTATAATTAAAAATGTGAAAAATTATTATCTAACTCAAATATACTTTCATTCTAACTTTAATTTTTATTTCAATAAATTTAAAATTTAAAATATATCTAATCATGTTTAAATTTAACCAAAAGTATTTAAAAATGTTTGTGAGAATAATATTTTTCGGGAATATAATTTCCAAAATACAATATCATTTATTTCTGCGTTAAATAAATAGATTAAATGATCAATAGTGCAATTAAACTTTTATCAAAACAAAATTTTATATTTATTTGTTCTTATTGAAACAAAGAATTGGATGTTTTGAATCTAACAAAATATTCGAAACTTTATTGGAAAAAAAAAGTGGACTTAGAACGTTGATTAATAAATTGGTATGGTGATTTCGAAAAGAAAAAAAAAACCATTTATGGTATCTATAATTAGCTTGTGGATAATAGGGTAAGTGCAAAACAAGTAAATAGATGCATTGTAAAAGACATAATGTAAAAATAAAAAAACGTTTAAGAATTAAAATTAAATGTATAAAATCATAATTGAATAAAAATAGTATAAATTGTGATTATAAGATATTATTTTTAAATTGAACAATTTATTAATTAAAAAAACTAATAGATAAAAGATATTTCGTGTTAAAAGAAGAAAACAAATTATCATTTTTATGAACAGTTAGTTATGAATTTCAGAGTTAAATTAAAAGAAAATAAAGACAAAAAAATCCGTGTTAAAATAGAAGTTAAAAGCCATTAGTTAAAAAAAAATAGTATTTTATATAATGGTATAAATATTTTCAAAGTACAATACCCATCCAATTCCGAAATTGTTGTAGTTATTTGTTGAGATTTCTGTTGACATTAACTTTTGTTCTTATCATAAATCGTTTTAACCCTGACAACGGACTCAAACACGACAAGTATACCGGTCGTTCAAGTAATAAATTTAAATCCTATCCACATGAACTAGTAGGTAAAATAAAAATTTAATGATTATTTGTGACTAAAGAATAATTCTAATTTTTCATAAGTTGTCATGCAATTCAAATAAAAGTTATGACGTACTATTGGAATTTCAAACCTATGATATAATTAGTGTGTGTGTGGAAGGGATAAGAAATGGTATTGTGATTTTGTAAGATTATGGGGTCAGATATCACCGAACTTTACACTGATGAATCTTTGTTCTCTTGTTACATTCATTGCCTAGTCAACTCATAAGTTTACTCAAACTTAATCCCTTAAAGCAAGAACCTAGGTGCAGATAATGAATATCAATTCCTTGAGTATCCAATACATACATCTGCATTACGAGTTATGGTTTAAGACTACTAATGGGCCAAACTCAATTCCTAGATATATTTCCCACTAGGTATTTGTTTCAGAGCTAGTTCAAAAGGCTATTTTTCAATACCTAATGGACTCTATATCAAACAAAGGAGAATCAATCCAAAGCAAGCATTAAGAATAGAAACATACACAATAATGAATGAAACAACATATATATCATTAATAAAGTGAAGATTACAAAAGAGTTTCGTTGGTTACATCTAACCCCACGAAATAATAGATAGAACCGCTCAAAACAATGAGGGTAAAACAAAAATAGAGATTGAAAAATCGAAGGGAAAGACCCACAAACGAACGGTCCCAAGCACCGGGAATCCCTTCCATAGCTCCTAGAAGTCGCCTAATGTGTGAATGACGGAATGAGCCTCGAAGATTTGATCAAATACGAGCTGGGGGAGACAGGATAGGGTTTACACGCCCGACGCGTTACACTTCGCGCCCGGCACAGGGTCTTCTAGAGAGGTAATTATTCTTTGTCTCGAATCACGCTTGGCGCGGATGCGTTTACGCCCGACGCAATGTCTTCCAAAGAGTTTTGAGTACTCTCTGTTTTGAATTGCGCCCGGCGCGGATGCTCTTGTGCCCGACGCAATGCTAAAGTGCAGAGGTGATGCTTTGTGTTTCTCAAGCCCGGCATGGGTAGTCTGCGCCTGGCGCAGGTACTCTTCTCCTACTCCTTAGCTCCTTAAATATCCAATCCTATGGGTCTTCAACCTCAACTCTCTAACTCAATACTTGCACAAAAAATGAGGTGTATCAAGGTATTGTTAGATAAATTTTGGGTTAGCTATATTTGCACAAAAATTGAATAAAAAAGAGAACAATTATATTGCAAGAGTGCATGGAGTGAGTGGAATTGTTCAATAATTCTTATCTAAACATATGTATAAATGAGACTTAACATTATTCACCACGCATCCACTCTTATTTACCGGTATTTTTTTATATTAGTGTTCCAAAGGTAATAACTATGAACTAATATGTAATTGTGGGATATAATTTTTATTGATTAAACATTATTTTAACATACACATGAAAAATTAAACATATTAAGAATTATTTTGTATGAGAGTCTCTTTTATTTTTTTTGTTTGAGTAAAAATGTTAGATAGAAGATGACATTTTAAAATCCATCAGACGAGGAGTCAATGACAATATTGGAGATTCTCATATCAAATACCATGGTCTAGTTAGTTGTTAGTCAAACTAGAGATCCTCGAAATTCATTAGTACAAAGTTTGACCCACGACTTTACTTTAACTATGGTTCAACAAAAGTTCACAATAATTTCACCTTTGGTGTCAATGGGTTTTCACCATTGTACTTAGTGGCTAGTCGAGTTAGGGAACCTCAAAACTGAGTGATGTCCAATTTGATTTAAGATTTTACTTACTGAACTGAGAACCAACATAAGTCCACCAGAGAAACTCAGTGGTACTTGCCTTGATTCAAGACTTTACTTGGTCAATTAAAGGTTAACAAAAGTCCACTAGAAGAATTTTACTAGTCGAATTCGGGATTCTCAAAACTGCTTGTTCAACTGAGGGCCAATAAAGATCAACTAGAGGAATTTTATCTATGGCACCAATGGAGCTCCATCATTGTCCCCATTTAGTTAGTCGAATTAGGGATCCTCGAAACTCAATAATGTTCAATTTGATATAAGATTTTACCTATATAACTAAGGATTAACAGAAATCCATTAGAAGAATTTCACCTCTAATACTAATAAATCTTTTTGAGTTGGTATGTTTGCGAAAGTAAAATTTTAAAGATTGTCAAAGGGGTGTTGAACCCATATTACGAAGAATACAAATTCGAATTAAATCTTGAATCATTTGTGTCAACTAACTCGCAATGACTCATTTGAGAGTGTTTTCACATACTTCTCTTTAATGAGAATTATTTTAGATTTTTTTACTTCTGATACAATATATATGCTAGTCATAACTATTACAAAATTAGATAACAAAACTTTCTTTTCGAATATTTATCAAATTATATACTCAAAATTTGAATTTGAGATTTCTAATTAAGTTGGAAGAATACTTTACTTATTGATTTATATATTTGTCAGTTTTTAAAAGTGATTAAAAATAAAAAATTTAAATAAAATGAGATAAAATATATTTTTATCATTTCTTTCCTTTCATTCATTCCATTACAATTTAAATAGTTAAATAATGAGGTCCGAACAAATCGGAAATTTATAAATAAGCTTTTAAATTAAAAAATAATTAAATTTCTAAACTAAAATATAAATCCTTAAAACTTAATTTGTTGTTGTTTTAAATCGTTAAAACACAACCATTTACAACGATTTTAAAAAATTTAAAGACCCAATTAAACAACATTTCATAACTAAAGACTCAATTATTTATTTGTTTAGTTATAATTTAAGAAAAACTCAAATTATTTACTGTAATTTAAGCAAAACAATAAAATAACGTAATTTGTTATTATAATTTTACTCCGGTTCCTTCTATAGTCGAAGAATATTAGCAGCGGGTGGTAGAGTCGAGTTTAGGTCCCGGCGGCAGCATGGAGATGTCGAGCGAAGATGCGGTGTTTCTGGACCGCGCCTCTCGAGCCACCAGGGGCAAGAGAATGACCAAGCTCCTCGACGATGAAATCCAAGAAGACGAATTGTTCTGGAACCAGGACGCTCTCAAAGAGGAAGAAGAAGACGATAATTACCAAGAGGAACCCGAGATCGCCGATGAATTCGACTCCGACTTCGACCAAGACGTATTTCGCCTTTAACATTCCCTCTTTTTCTCTTTCTCTCTCTCTCACGTTTAACCTAACACATAAACACTCTTCCTTCAGGAGCCCGAACCCGAGGAAGAGGACCCTAACACAATTGACGCCGATGAAAGGTTTCATTTTTTTTTTTTTTCCCTCCCTTTTCTGCATCTTCCTTGTTTGCTTTTTTTATTTTTTATTTTTGCTGCTGTTTTACTCGTGTTTTTTTTTTTTTTTTTTTGAAGGATGCATAAGAAGAAGAGGCTGATATTTCCGGGGAAGACTCTGGCCAAGAAGAAGAAAAAGAAGAAAGTGTTATCCAAATTGGAAAATTCTCCCAAAGAAGAGGAAAGTTCTGATAAGGTTGCAGAGGAACAGCAGGATGAGATTGGGGAGAGAATGATCAGGAAGTCCACTAGGACTTCTGTCATTGTTCGCCAAGCTGAGAGAGATGCCATTCGTGCAGCTCTCCAAGCCACCACCAAGGTCAAATCTTTCTCTTTTTAATTTTCTCAATGCCTGTGCTTTACTTAGTAAATAGTAATTGCCATCTGTTTAACTCATCTGGGATTGAATCATGACGACAATGAGTGAATGGTAATTTTAGCCCCTGTATTTGGATGACTCTGTCATATTAGTCATTGAAACTAAAAAAATGTCCTGAAAGTACAAATAGACTTATACATTGGTCCAAAACTAAAAAAAAATGTGACCAAATTCTAATATTATATATCAAGGGAATAAAATGATAATAAATAGTTAAATTTAGAGGCTTATTTGACACTTTAGGAACTTTGTTATTTATTTATTTTTTTGACATATTCTTAGTTTGGAAGACTAATATAACAACACTCACCCATAAGTGGAGGTTTGAGTTATACTAGACTTAGTCTCTTTAAGCAATATCTCAGGTTCAAGTATTGTGTATGGAAAAAAAATGATTAAAAGGGGAGACTTCACTAAAGATGGCCAACCAGGTTATCTGACAAAGATTTAGTCATTAGTGAAGCTGATAGATACTTCGTACCATTAATATGGTTACCTGAAAAAATATGACAACACTGATCACTTTTAGGGACCGAAGTGACCGATTACTCTTAACAACCTATGCTCAATGCTTATTATTTTCTTGTAGTACTATTTACCTTCTCTCCAACCTTGGACTTTGGGGCAGTGAATAAGTTTTTTTTTTCATTGTTACGTTACTGGTTTTTGTGATTCTTGTCTGATTGTTTTTTTTTTGGGAGGCCTCAGCCGGTCAAAAGGAAAAAGGAAGGTGAGGAGAAGAGAATGACACAAGAAGAGATGCTTTTAGAAGCTGCTCAAACAGGTCGAGATTGTAACACTTAACATCCACCAATTGCATGTTTTGCTTGTTTGAACTTCCAAAGATCCTTTACTGTTTCGATTTGCGATTTTGAGTTTGCAGAGATTATGAACTTGCGAAATTTGGAGCGTGTTTTAGCTAGAGAGGAAGAGGTTAAGAGAAGAGCAATTGTGCATAAAACTGTTTATAATGGTCCACAGATACGGTATATTTCAAAGGATGGTAAGAGTTTTTAAGGGATAATGAATGTCTTTGGACCATGTTTTACCTACAATCTTGATTTGTCAATATTGGTTTTTGTTGTCATTTTTCTTATGAAAATCTGTTAATATTTCCAGGTTCTTCCTATTTAGAGTTCATCAAAGGATCCTCATTTCACTCAGATATTGCCACAGCGTCTGTACAATGTGAGTCCCTCTTACCTCTGGTAGTTCAAATAAGAATAAAAAGTTGGTTTAGTTTTATGTTGAAGAATATTATATGTTCTGTTCCTTTATCCATTAATGTTGCAGTAAGTGAAATTAAATTCCCAGTAGAATTGCTATAGGATTGCTTCACACTACATTACTTTGTCAAATTAGTTGGGTTTTTTTCCTGATTAAATTTAATTTAGTTATCGATGACAACATCTGACTTGCATCAAGGTTTTAATTTAACCCATATTATTTATTGGTGTAATGGACAAAGCTCACTGGACATATTGATGATGATATCTTTTTGGAGTGGCAGATTAGATTAACAAGATAGTAAATGCTGAGTTGGAGTTGCGTGAAAATGTTTTGGTCTTTAGGAGACGAGTGGATTTTGATTCAGTAGTTAAAAGACAAAATATGTGGATTTTAATCCCGGTTGGGAGAGGATGATAATGTAGTATTACCTTCAATTGAGTGCTTTAGATAATTAGGGTCTATCTTATAAAAAATGACAGAAGGGTTATTAATGATGTCAAACATCACATCTGAATAGGATGGATGAAGTAAAGAAATGTTTCAGGTTTTTGTGTGCCTAGAATTCCCTTACATTGATAAAGAAAGATTTAACAAATTGTAGTGAGATATGCAACTTTTGTATGGATCAGATTACTGTGCAATAAAGTGCAATCATGAACAACAATGAAGGTTGCAAAAATGAGAATGAAGAAATAGATGGGTTGCTATATCAATGTGGATATGTTAAGGATTGAATTCACTAGGGAGAAGGTTGGTGTGACTTATATTCAGAAAAATGTTGGCTTCATTAGGGAGAAAAGTGGAATGGCGACTATATAGGATAATGATGGACAGTCACTGGAGATAGTTCGGGGATTTGAGAGCAGATGTCCTCCACAGACCTTGGTTAGATGCGCTGTTAAAGATAAGATGACACCAATTTAGAAATCGGTAGGAGGAGGCCAAAAACAGCGTGATGATACTTGAAAGATTACTAAGAACAATTTAAGGTTCTCAGCTTTGTGAATATATATGATACATGATATGATAGAAACTTAGAAAAAATTAAGATGGAAGCTATAGAGAAGAGTCACAAGAACATGACTTTATTGCAGAACAGAACAGAAATGAAGAATGTAATTCTTCCCATGGGCTTCCCCTTCACAAAAGTATCTCTCCCTTTGCTTAAATAAACTATCAATTTCATAAAAAACCATCCCCAAATCTGATTTCCCCTATTTATAATTATAACTGATATCTTCTAACTAACTAACTAGGTCAACCAACTAATGGACTAATTGACTAATGTCTGTCCTTATTCGACTCTATGCATCCTAACATTATCGAGGTCAATGACTGGCTCAATATACTGTTTTCTTTGCTCTGCATCAACCCATTCTGAATCCGAGGTGCCTTTGTTCTTGGGCTTTGTTTCATTCTTCCAAGGAGATCCCTTGTCACAAAATTTGTCGTCGTCCCCATCATCGGGCTCTTCAATACCCTGTTTTCTCATCCACCTTCCTAATTGCTTTTTAACTACAGCAATGTCCTTTACTATCATCTTTATTTCTGATACATGCAACTCCAAAGATTGAAGTTGGATGCTATGCCCACTGGTCACCTTTCTAATGCTTAATTTGCTGCTCCATCTTCTTTCTCCGGGAATTTGCATCTGGCATGTCAAAAGAACCATAATAAGATGGAAACTTTAGTGAGTTAAAAAAACCAAACTTTATTGAAGAACAAAACAGAAATGGAGAATAGGATTCTCCCCAAGGGTTTCCCCTTCACAAAGGATCTTTCTTATCAATTACACAAACTATCAAATTCACAGAATGCCCTCCGCAAATCTTATTTTCCCTATTTATAACCAATCTCTTAACTAACAAACTAGTCCAACTGACTAACTAATGAACTAACTTACTAACAGCTATCCTTATTCAACTTTCATTATACATCCTAACATGATCTAGGTCAATGGCAGGCTCAATTCCATGTAGCTGACTCAACTCAGCAG